GTTGAAATAACGGTTCAGTGTTGGGAAAAAACTCTAGTAATATTCAGTAATTTGTTTGATTAAACTCAGTTCTCTCTGAGAATTACTTTCTGACTATAGAATATTCAATAGTCTCTGGAACATATTATTAAGTGCAGCTACGTCATGTTGACAGAAATATTTCGAAGAATGATATATGATAATGCCTGTATAAGATGGTATGTGAAAACTTGCAAAATCAGCATTATTATTAATTAGTGTTGATTTTAATTGACGAGTTAGTGAATTGACAAATTCGAATTCGAATACTTGCGATTATTATGTTTCACTTTAGGAATATTTCTAAGATTGATGTATGATAAAGGTCATATAAGATGGTTTGTGAACATTCGCCAAATCATCATTATTATTAATTTGAGAAATGTTTTGGTTGGTTTCCGGGTTTTGCCGTGATCTTCTTTGGTTATAATCTCCAAACGTTTCAACTGCAACTGCGGCATCATATTCAGTGGCGTGGTCGAAGTACTCTTTTGACGTAACAATCCATTTAGTAATACTCAAGTCTAGAAAATTCATTGAATCATTTTCCACCAGTGTTGATTTCAATTGATGGGTGAATGGAATTGACAAATTCGAAGTCGGAAAAAAAAAATTATCATGTATGTTTTTGAATACTTGCGATTGTTGAAAAATGAAGTGAAAATTGGATTTTTAGAGGAAAATTCATTATGATCTGACACATCACATATATTATGTAATAAAGCTGTATCAAAATTTGCTTTACTGGTAGTCAAAATTTCACATTTTTACTTCATGTACTCCATTTGAAACCATTATTTGGCAGAGAAAGTAATTTACGTGTGAATATGTATTTTCTTCCCACGCCTCAAAAGCAAAATTCTTTCACAAATTCTAAAACTTCCTGATCCCAGCAACAAATTATCTTTCAGTTCCCTATTCCTCCCTATGGCATTATCCATTGATATATTCGCAAACCAGGCCTCTCCAGAGTTATCCACAAAGACATTCCCTCAGATAATATTACACCACCCTTCGGCCATGACAGGACAGAAATGTGCTTTGAGTGTTTGATGTATCTAGTTTATCGAGGTCCACCGATATATATACCCCCATCCATCCGATAGCGATAATAATCGCAGGGGGAATTTATCCACGTAAGCAGGTCCGACATCGGTTTGTAGTCACAAGATATAGAGTGAATAATGTAGGTACCCTCGGCACCAATTTGTTCCAGGCGAAAAATCCACTTTTCGTATCGGAAAACTTCGGATGTTCAGTGGGCGCAGAGAGATTTGTTTAGTTTCAGAAGCTGAGAAATAGATATATTACGTAGAAAGCGATCGAATTTTGCTGATTACATTTTTTTTTATTTAATCAAATTAGGTTTGTTCCTCTCAATACAGTCACAATTAAAAAATGAATCGCATTGAAAATAGTATGATCCATTATTCTTGATCTTGGTGTACTATCTGATAATATAATGGTGACTGTATCAAGTATTGAGCCTGCCTTAGATTGAAGTTAAAACCTCCAATTTGGCCGCGTTGAGCTTAGCATTAAAAAAATTCAAATTCGTAATTATTGGTGGCGATTTGAATATTGACTAATTCAGTAACACACTCAGTGCAAAAATGTCTGATGTATTGAGTTCGTTTGGAATTACATCACTGATCACAGAATTCACAATACTTTATACTAACATCACGTATACCAGTGATACCTCAATAGATTATATAATTACCAACATACCACATATTTTCAAATATCCAACTTCGATCCAGGGCTGTCAGATCATTATTGCCAAATAGAGCACGGCAGTTTACCTAAGGATACTGAAAATGATCATTTTTTTCAAAGGATACATTCTTTCAGAAGTTTCAATGAGAGTTCCATAAACGAATTCAGATATCAGCTTTTTTTTTTAATATACTTTATTGTCTGAAGAATAAATTCTTATTGACAAAGCCTTGTGCAAAAAATAAATAAAATATACATGAAATCACAAAAGTAAAATCACTAAAATTAGGTTATAACATGAACTGAAAAGAGACATGTAAATAATAACAAACGTTCAGGATATAAGAACATGGTCAACAAAATGTAAATAAATCAATTTAAACTAAATTGAATGAAATGAAATCAATAAAATACCGTAGATATTACAGTTAGTCTTCTCAATTAAAATTATCATCATAGAATTCTGCTAAGCTATAATAAGGTCTCCCAGAGAGCAAGTCTTTCAACTCTTTCTTAAGAGCTCTAAGGTCATTTATGGTTCTTATAGCTTGAGGAAGGTGATTGAACATTTTAAGACCGTTGTAAATAATGGAATCTTTAACTAGCGACGAAGAAGGCAGCGGTAATTTAAAGCTGAATCTTTGCCTGGTTTGATACATTGGCGCGTCCAAGTTGTTAAACAATACCCTATTTTTGAAGACAAGGCAGATTGTCTCGTATATAAATAGGGAGACCACAGTTAGGATTTTGTTAGAGGCAAAAAGAGGTCGACAAGAGTCCCTAGGCTTGGCTTTGCATATGCATCGTATTGCACGTTTTTGTATTAGTAATACTGATTGAAGGCATGTGGTAGAACACACACCCCAAAAGCAAATACCATAACGGAGGTGTGGTTCAAAAAGGGAATGATAAACCATTCTAGCTTCTGCAGATCCGAGCTCAAATGCAGTTACTCGTATGGCATAACATCCAGAGGAGAGCTTCGATTTCAAAGTATCTACANTAACTTAGACTGGCTACGGAAAAGAGTAGCAGATGTAAATTTAAATAGTAATTACAAAAGCCTGAAAAAAGAAGTGAATAAACAAATATAATCCGAGAAAAAAAAACATTACAAAAACATCATTGAAAAGTCGAATAATAAAAACAAAATGGCTTGGTCTATAGTAAACAATGCGACCGGCAAACAAAAAATCTTCAAATTACTGAAATTAATTATGGAAATAAAGTAATAAGTGATACTACTGAAAAAGCTGCTACTTTCGGGCAATATCTATCTACGGCAATTCACGAGAAATCATTAAATTTTTTTGCCAATAATTTAAGTACTCGCTGCACCACAAGTGACCCTGTAATACAAACTATGTTTTCTAGACCTGAGAATGTCAATGACGTTAATGAAATTATTGAATCATTACCAAACAAAAATCTACAGGTTTGGATGAAATACCTGCATCAGTAGTAAAACAATGCAAAGATATCATATCTCCAATACTTGCTCATATTATAAATTTGTCGATTATGCAAGGTAAGTTCCCTTCAAGTCTGAAAATAGCCTCTGTTATTTTATTGTACAAAAAGTGTTGCGGTAATGGACAGCAAAGTGCTGGTTCAGAAAATAGTAAACTTGACTTTATTTTTAAACTCAAATAAATAAATTAAGTTAAAATCGGGAAAGACTTCCACCTACCTGATGAAAACGTTCGGAGCGTCTTCGTCAGCTTCTGGAAGGCTTTCAAACTTGCAAAACGTAAATAATAAGCGGGTAATAATAATAAGCGGGTATTCACGAACGAAAAACAACTTCGTCCCTTACGGTGGTCAATTCAAGACTGACTTGGTCTGCTCCATCTCGCGCATGTGTAGAATCGTGGAAGTCATTTCATCAGCGCGAAATATTTGAATACAAGAACAATTGAAAAATAAAAAAAAAACAAAAGAAATTTGCTTCGACCATAATATTATCAAGGTTTTAACATTTAAGGACATACACAATAAAGAGAACTGTAACAAAAAGGGTGATCCTAGTGATGTTGAAAACTACCGACCAATTGCATTACTTAGTATTTTCTCTAAAATAATTGAAAAAGTGGTTGCTCGAAGAATGGAAACGTATCTGAGTTCTTTCAATTTAATAACAAACAATCAACACGGTTTCAGAAATGGCTTCTCAACTGAATCAAGTGTGGCTGAGTACACTCAAAACATTTTTGAAAGAATGGATCATGTGAATATGTGGTATCAGAATTGTTCGACTTAACAAGGACATTTGATACAGTTGAAAGGTCTTTCGCCTCAGAAAAACTAGAAAAGTTGGGTATTCGTGGCTGCCTTAATGATTGGTTTCTCTCTTTCCTCGAAAACCGAAAGAATAAAGTAAAAATTGATGATGTTTTTTCAAATGAATTTGATATGGATCTTGGAACCCCTCAGGGCAGTGTTCTTGGCCCATTAATTTTTCTCATATCTATTAACGATCTTCCTAAATATCTAACTGAAGCAAAAGTTCTCATGTAAACAGATGACACATGCACAATAATATCAGATCACTCAAAACTCGCACTTTCACAAAAACTTACCAGAACACTAAACCAATTCAAAAATTGGTGCTATTGTAATAGATTAATGTTGAATGTTTCGAAAACGGTTTGCATTGAATACCATACAGCTCAAAAATTACCATCAGATTGCTCAATATTATTAAATAACACTTTAATCAGTACATCGAAGTCTGCAAAATTTCTCGGAACCATATTCGACTGTAATCTATCATGGGAGACACAAATTAGTAGTGTCTGGAGTGTCTATTATTCGTATGCTTACTCTGCGATTTCCTATAGTATCATAGTATGGGGGCAAGGGCGTGATAACCAAAGGGTGTTTGTATTACAAAAAAGACTATTGCGATTAATTTTTGACCTACCTTATCAAACTTCATGTCGCGATGTATACAAAAACAAAAAAAATTCTTACTGTTACTTCTGTTTACTTATATAAATTACTGAGCTATATCTACCGAAACCGAAATAAACTGCCAAAAAATTCTGATATTCACAATCACAACACAAGGCATAAAAACGACTTGTTGCAAAAAAAATCGAACCACACTTTCCACAAAAAAAAAATCACCTCTGATAATTGGAGCGTCTTACTTTAATAGGCTTTCCTGTAATATAAAAAATAGTAACACATACGGAATTTTCAAAAGTAGGTTAAAGAAAATTTTAACGATTCCTCCACCGTGGATAGTGCAACAACCAAAAATGATAACAGAATTGACTCGTTTTGAAAAATGCTCAACGAACAGAGAACTAATCATTCAAAGTTTAAATAATATTCTGGACAAATATCCCGGTTACACGAAAGTCTACACAGATGGATCGAAAACAGTGGAAGGAGTTGGAGCAGCGGTTATCACACAAGATATATCACTGAAATATAAACTTCCATCCCAAGGCAGTGTATACACTGCTGAGATGTATGCTATCTATGGAGCCATGAAACATATAAACAGTACACACCAACTCACTTATGTACTGATGACAGATTCTCTCAGTTCTCTGGATACTCTGAAGAAAATATACCCCAAGAACGCAATGGCAGCAAAAATCAAACAAGAGTTATACAAAGCTCAACAAAAAGGGAAGATAGTCGTTTTCATCTGGATCCCATCACACGTGGGAATCAGTGGAAACGAGGAAGCAGATAAACTCGCTCGAGCATCAATTAATATGGCAGATGCAATAAACGTAGCGGATCTATTAGTATGTGACCTGAACAACCACCTGAAATCAGAGTTGCAAAAAGCGTGGCAAAACCGGTGGAATGACTCAGTTAGCAAGCTGCGAAAAATCAAAGTTTCAGTGAAACCATGGGGAATATTACCGATGAACAGGAAATCACAAGTGTTGATAACGCGTTTGAGACTCGGACATACAAATTTAACACACGCCTACTTGATGAAAAAGGAACCTGAACCAATGTGTTATATATGTGACATGAAACAAACAATAGAACACATTTTGATAGATTGCCCGCAATTCGAACAAGAAAGAAAAAATTGTAATATCCCACCTACATTAGAAGAAGCACTCGGCAGCAATTGTTCTTATACAAATATTATAGAATACGTTAGATTAATCAATATCATAACAAAATTGTAATAGTAACCTTTTCGTTGTAATAGTAACCTTTTCGCTAATAACCCAAGAGGTTGAAGCGATTTAGTAAATAAAAAAAAAAA